TTCCTGTGTAGACCTGGTCGAAATCTTTCTTAATAGCTTGGAAACTGAGCTTTTGGTAAAAGTGAGTGATGCATGTCCTAGAGAAATGAGACTGCTGGAAATGTGGAATTTCCTGAACTTGACTGTATCATGACTTAGGTAAATCAGGGGCTGTGGGGCTTGGGAGGATTTCTTTTTCTTTTCTTTTTAAGCATACAAAGTTCTAACTAACTTGAAGCCCAAACATTTTTTTAAATAGTCTGAATTCTCAAAAAGCTTTAATACTGTTTTTGAGCAGCTTGGTTAAAGTTAGTTTACATTCAGGAGAACTTAATCATTTTGAAGCCTCTTTTTCAGTGGCATCTTTTTGACACTTGCACATTGGTCCTGCTTTTTTATATTGTGCTTTTAAGATAATTTCTACCTTAATATACTGATTTCTGTCATTATAAAGTCCTTTACAGAAATTCAGACTGAGGGGATGATGTTGTTCTTCTTACACAACAGAAATTATTTTTCAGACCCGTTGGGGAAGTGGTGTATTTAATATCTGCAAAACTTGGTCTCTAACAGGAATTTGCTGTCCTGTTCCTTTTTCTTTATGTGGAAAATGGAAGCTGCTACAATTCTGCTAGTAAATCTGTGTTGTCTCATGGAGAGGATTTGAAGCCTGGGACTCTTGACCCAGAGAACTGGTTGGTAGCTCTCACCTTTTTAGTGTCTGGGGATAAGGGGCAGCAACGTCTTTTTATGCTCCCTCCTGGGGAATTGCCCTTTTAAAAATGTTCAAGACTTGACTGCTTTAGATAATGAAGGGAGCTAAGGATCACAAGAGGTAGATCCTGTAACTGTGTATTTCCTTCGAAAGGTCATTTGGAGCAGCACAGCCTTTCCAGCAAGATCATCCTGGGGCTTGTTCTGCTGAGAATAGGGAAAAAAAAAAAAAAAAAAGTAGCATTGCTGGCTTTTAGACATGGTTGGCGTATCTATTTGTGAACAAGCCCAAATGTGATAAGCTGTACTGGGCAAAAGCACCTCCTCAGGGAAGCCAAGCGTACTTCCACCTGTTGCATTTTGAATCACTTTCTCATTGAATTTCACAGGTCAGGTTAGCATGAAGGTAGAAGATGCTGGATGCTGCAAGCATGGTGGGAATTACCGCTAACGTGTGAGGGTGCAGTAGGTGGAGCTGTCGCTGCGTCGGTGTGGGATGAGGGAGCTCACAAACTAGTAGCCGTGTCTTGCTGGCTTGCCTCAAAACTTGCCGGCCTAGGTGTTTCCCTGATGGACTTGCTTATCTGATGTAACTGAAGGGAATGTGCTGTGTTAGGCAAAGGATTGCTTCTCAAGAAAAAAAATGTCTTTGCTCTGAGCGAGCAGAAGTTTGCAAAGCTTTTGTAAAGGCACAGATTTTTACCTGGGGGATGTAAAATTAGGCCCTAAGTCGTCTGGGCTCCAAAAGATTTCATAGTATTCTTTGCAATGATGTAACAGTGGTGCTTCACATCCAGTTTAGGAGAGAGCTCTGCTTTCAGAGCAGAGTTCTGCTCCCTTCCTCTTTGGGAAGGAGAGTACAATCAGAGTCTCACAGTTGCTGCTGGCTGACAAGTCAGATGAAACAGTCTCCATTCCTGCCGCTGCACTGTGCTGATGTTTCTGAAAATGCAGAGGCAGAGCTGTTTTCTCAGCACAACAGTAAACCTGCTGTCCCCAGAAAAGAGGTGTTGTCTGGTTTCTGAAAGGCTGAGTCAGAAACTGGAGAAGATAGAACATACAGCTTAAAACACAAACTAAACCTGTGTCCATTTTCCGGACATCTGTTTAAGTTTTCTGTTTGTATTGCCTGTTAATTTGAGGGCTTTATCAAATTCATTTCTTCTGGCCTGCCATTCTGCAAACCATGGAGCAACTCGTGGATCAGCTTGTCTCACCTACGTAATGTTGGTCACTGTTTCACTCAGATGGCTCTATATCAAGTCTACTTAGTCCCTGTGTGACTAATCTCTGCATGAACTGGCTAGCCTGGGGTGCCGCTTATGTCTGAGACCTCTGCAGCTACAGGAAAATGAAGAGATGTATTCAGATAAGTGCGGTGGCAAAACCACGCCCTGTGCTGCAGGAGGAGGTGAAAGAAAACACAGGGTCAGACCCCAGGGAAAATTATTCTTGACCTCAAATCTGACAGTCCATCCAGTTCCAAGAGTAAGAGCAAGAGGGTTTTTAAGTGTATCCTCTGTATTCTTTGAAACCACCAGTCACACCCCTCCCTGTGCAGCTCTAGTCAATCTACGATACTTCCAGTTCAGAGGGAGAGAGCGAGCACATCTGTCTGTCTAGATACTGGAATAAATGATGTGTCTTGAGCCACGTAGACAAATCGTTGACCCCTGAAGAACCAGCCAGGTATAAGTTCATGACAGGCAGAGTAAATGATTCTTTTCTCATCCCCCTCATGAAGGATGGGAAGAAATGCAAGGACTAATATGGACGTTTTTCAAATGAATGTCCAGCTGAATGCCTTGCAAACAGAAGCTCTAGGGTAGGGGTGAAATTAAAAAGCTGTATTAAAGCACATCTTTTCCTACCAAATGACAATCCATAATGCCTAGGTGTCTTCAGTTGTTTGTCTGAATATTTTGGAGATCTGACCAAAGTATTTTTCAGCAATTGCCTTGTGTGTTTGAGCACGGTATGGGTCGGGTTTGGTGGGTGTTCCACTACTTTCTGAGCGCTGTTAGCACTCGTCATCTGTGAGGAATTACTGTGTCGCCTGTAGAAAACTAAATTGAGAAAACAGGATAGCTTACTTCACACGTTTGTCTCCATGAGGCTTAAGCACCTTGGTTTGAAATGAGTACGTGGCTTATAAATAGATTCCTCTTTCACAAAATGCAAAACAGTCTCTGTTTCGCAGGACAACGGGAACCAAAAACAAGCCCCAGAATGAATGAGCGCTAGAACTGCGCAGCTGATGCGCTGTGCAGGACCACCTTTGGAAGTTACTGAGACAGACACACTGAAGCTTTCGGGTGAAAAGATGCTAAGGTTTGAATTGCAATGTCTCTCAAGAACTTGTTAAGAGAAATATTGCATTTGTATAGAAAGTCTCTTTGCAGACTAGGTATTTCTGGCATTTAGTAGTGTCCCAATAACTGATCTGCTGCTCTGCCTTTGCAGTATGAGGCTTTCCTATAGCACGTTCTGTAGCATTCAAAATAAGCATTGTCATGCCATAAATAAGACTGGGCAAGTCCTGAAGCAAAATGATGGGATGCCTGGAGCCTGCGCTCTGTAATTTATTGTAGACCTGTTTTGGTCCGCAGATAAAAGGAGTGGATGAGAAGAAGAGGGTGACGGCAGTGTGATAGTGCAGTGACTCAATTCAAAATGTCACGGTGCGTGTTAGTGCTGGAGTTTGCTGGGGGACTGCTAACATCATTGTTGCAGCAATCCTGAACTGCTAATGGCTTTGCTGGCCAAATACTTCGCCAGATCACTCTGCTTTGCAGCCTGTGCTGAGCTCGGTGCTGCTGCAGCTATGTTGTTATCAGTACCAAAGTTAGCTGCTTTGAAGCTGCTTAAGATATACTGAGATGAGCTGCAAGCACACCTTTGATCATCACATAGATGTAGTCATGATGAGTCTTATTTTCTGATCATAGATACACTAATAGTAGTTTGTTTAGGAAGGCATTGTTTGGAGCAGAGGATGCTGGAGACTTGGCGGAGTGTGGAGAGCATTTTGTGCTCCTGCTGGGACACAACATAATCCAGCAGAGCACAAAAAAACATGTCCTGAGTTTAAGTAAATGAGTAGTTCTGCAGCTTTGCATGAGGCCGTTTGAATATTTGCCTGAATTAAGGCATAGTAGTTAATGCTTTGCAGGATTGAGCAAGTAACAACATAACACAAATATCAGTTACGCTTATCAACAGAATATGCAAAGCAGGTATCAAGGATGATGATATTTTACCATTATCTGATTGTTTCAGCATGACTATTATAGCTGATGGCAACAGGATCATGGAGGTCTCAAAGAAAAACCTGGTGGAGGGTTTTCTATGGAGAACTTGTGAAATGAGCCCACCAGTCCGTCGCTTGCTCCCATGCTCTCTCCCAGCTGCTCCTCTGTTATGATATTCCTCATTTGTCAGATCTTAATTAGTAACTGCAGCAGATGCAGAGAGGATGGCAGTGAGAGCTGCAGTGACCTTTGGTGTTCTGTCTTCCCCTACGTGTGGTTGTTTTGAGACCTGCAGTTTAAATCAGCGTGGTAGAACGAAGTTACCCTGTGTGTATTACGGCTGTAATTTGTACTCCTTATTTGCTATTCCGGTTTTGTTACAGGTATAACAATTTACATATTCCATTCTGAAACATGCACGCTCTGAGGTTTGAATTCAGATGAATCTACTCCTAAGTTACATAAGTACAAAATAAAAATAAAAAAAAAAAATTGAATGCTTTAGAAGGGGATAAAAATAATTCTGGGTCCTTGCCTTTTGGTAACTCAGAAATTATGAGACTTCTAGTCCTGCCAGATACAGGGAATTGTTTTCTAGCAGAAGGGAAAAACAGATTACCAGTTTAGATTAAATAAGAACATTTTTTGAGCACTTGGTGGGGGGGGGGGGGTTGGTTTGTGGTGTGTGATTTGTCGGGGGTTTTTTTGAAGCATGTGGTCTCTGTCAGTTCAGATAGCATTAGCAGCACATAGCTATAGCTTTTCTTTATGATGATCTATATGCTATTGCAAAAGAGACCGCTGTCAGGATAAAATCTCCATTGCACAGAGCAATAATAAGAAGGTTCCACTGCATGATCCCACTTAATCCTGGGAAAGCAGCTTGCACATACCTGCTGCCATGCAGGAAAAAAACACGTGAGAGTGGGGAGGCATTCTCCCATTTGGAAAACAGCACTGGTATTGCACTTCTGATTGCAAAAGTTGACTGGCAAAAGGACAACTGCAGCAAGCAGAGATGGCAAATCCCTCATCAGTTATATTTCCCTTTTGCAGCCGATGAGGAACACCAGCAAAATGTGGCGGCAGCAGCCGGGGCCAGGCCTCGGCCCCATGTTGAAGAGCGGGGAGAAGGGATGCCGAGGCGCCGGAGGAACATGGGAAACCGGATGATGGCCCAGAGGAGAGCGCAGCAGGCAGAAGACTGGGTGGAAGGTAACGTTTGGTTCAGTTCATCTTGCAAACGCTGAAATGCGCCTTAACAGCAGGTGCTAAGGTTGGTGAAGGGGTGCGGTTGGCCAGGCCTCGGCCCCATGTTGAAGAGCGGGGAGAAGGGATGCCGAGGCGCCGGAGGAACATGGGAAACCGGATGATGGCCCAGAGGAGAGCGCAGCAGGCAGAAGACTGGGTGGAAGGTAACGTTTGGTTCAGTTCATCTTGCAAACGCTGAAATGCGCCTTAACAGCAGGTGCTAAGGTTGGTGAAGGGGTGCGGTTGGCTGCTGAAGAAAGTTTTTCAGTTTTACTGACTGAATTATTTACAGCTTGACTATAATGTATTTGACTGTCCAGCTTCTCTCCGTACTTTATCACCTGTCTTTAGATACCACTTACCTTTAACTGAACTGTTCACCTTCACCACCTCCTGTGGTGAATTGTGGCAGTTTGTTGTGCCAACAGTGCATCACAACATATTCTTCACTTACTTCCTAGAAACTGCCTTTTGTATTTCCTGCTTAGCCATGCAGGTTGAATTTGGGTAAACAGAATCCGCACCTTGCACTAGAATAACAAGCTGTAGTAAAGTATTGGTTTCTTGCAGATCAGTGGGAAGCATTAATTCCCCAATGTAATCTGCAAAATCTGGAGTGTTCTTTCTGAGAAGCCATCCAGGTGGTGATCAGAATCAAGCCGATTAGCTGGAGATCACCACAGACTGCAGCATTTTGTCTTACTGCTAGCAGGTTGTTGATGACGAGTCCTCTGTTCCTGTGATGGATCTACAGTTAATAGCTATACTTCTGTGGTGTGGTTGTAGGCAAGAATATGGTGATAAATAACATCTTTCTACACCCTGCAAGCCTCACTCCCTTTTCTGGTGAAACTTCACACATTATTATCTTTAATGCTAAAGAGATGATATCACCATGATTCACCTAACTGGATTCCTTCTACTTTCAGATTCTGGGTTAAGCATTCGGGGTTTCTGCTGAACTATTGATCAAAGTGGGCTTTGCTTCACTTGAATTTGCAGTGGAGATCAGGGTGTCGTCTTGGTGTGCAGTAGGTGAGAAACAGCGAGCACACATCTCTGTGATGCCTTGATTAGGGGCAAGTTGCACTTTCTTCAGCTTTCCTTGTCTTGCAGTTTGTAGAAAGCATCTTGCCCTCACGTTGGCAGGTAAACGTGCTATTCAAGCTAATTATGTTCAGCAGTTTCACAAAGGGAAAATTGACAGGTCTGAACTTTTCAACTTTGGTTATTTCTTTTCATGTGATAACATTCTGGAAAGAAAATGGAAACTAAAAATCTTTCGCCTTAAACTCCAAACATCAAAAGTTTGAATGCTGAAGGCCGACAGTGAAGCAGTCAAAGCAAACGGCTTATCTTACTTTGTCACTTTAGCAATAGAAGAATCTGTGTCATTGGCTTTATAAATAATTCTTTTGCAGCTTACTGTACATCAGACGCAAGTGCTGTGGCTCTTGCACGAAGTTTTCTTTGAAATGACATCCCTGTTCTATTTGGTTTTCTTAATTTCTTTTTCAAATTAAAACAACTTTGTGCTCTTTGCTTCTGTTTGGTGCTTCTGTGTGTGTGTTTATCCATATTCTGGGATGGTCTTTCCAAGTGCCTGTGCACTGCCACACGACAGTAACACCAAAGCCTTTGGAGACTGAGCACAGGCTTCAGCAGTATCGCTGTGGAGAGAAACATCTGTCCCTGGTTCCCCAGCGCTGAGGTGTGGAACGACCCACGGCCATATTACTTGGGATCAGCCCAGCTCTGTCATGGACTGGCTGCGTCTGTGCTGCAAAGCCCTTAGCCTGGCCCTGAGCTACCCGTATTAGTGCGGAGTTTGGGGTTTTTTTCCCCTTAGAGAAGGATGTGTTACGTGTTTTAAAGCTTACTCTGTGGGCATGTGGTATAGGTCTGGAATCACCTCTTGCATACGCCTCCTTCGTGTGGGAGGCCATGTGCATTTTCTCTGTGTCATTGCGATATAGAGCAGCTTTGTCTAATTCCTGCCTCCATTTGAACCTGTTGAAATAGCAAGTTTTAGCCCCACAGCAGAGTTTTGTGTTATAAAAATTAGTTGACTCACGTGGAAAGAGAGCCCAGAATACACGCGGTGCTATACAGTCCCAGGCAATGCAGGACCAGTTGGGGCACCCGAGGCTCAAGAGCAAAGTTATTTGGCAATGTAGACAGAAACACTGAAAACAAGCCAGTCTGGTTTCTTCAGTCTTGACTTGTAAATGTTCTTGTTGCTTTAGAAGGCTTCTGAACATCTGCAACTGAAATGGATTTTTTTTTTCGTTGTTAAAATATTGTTAAATTTCTTGACATGTTTTACTAGTAAGTTTCTGTTCTGTGTGTGGAATTTCCACTCTGGGCCTGTGTTTAGCTTTGGTCAAAGCTGCCTGATCCTGCTCGGTGTCACTCTGACTTCTGCCACAGGTCGGTGCAGGCATAACAGCAACCCATCGCTGCAAGATTTCTAGCACCAGCCTCAGGAAGGGCACGAGGATGCCCTGGCCATATCTGTGTTACCATTACAGGCATAAAAGTGGAGTCAGGTAGGAACTGCTGTTTTCACCAAAGTTATTCTGCCTGTCGGGAGCCACTTCTGCTGACTCTAGGAAATGGTCTCAAAGCAACACTTGCAGGCTTTGGAGCTGTGGTTAGTGTGAGGGCTTTCTGTTTTCCATCTAACAATCAGATTTCAATTCCAAAATGAGAAAGAAAGCTTCAAGGGTAAAATAGTAGCCCACAGTTTCTGCTGCTTGTGCTAAGTTGTTGTATTGTGCCAGTACTCAAATCACTCGCAGAGTATGGGCGGGGGGAAACCAAACAAATTGTGGCACTGGGATCAGAACCTCGATAGCTTTTTATTGTGCCTTCTGTAGTTGAAATCTTAGTCTTATTTACTTGCAAGTCTGGGTAAGGAGGAGTCATTCAATACAGACAAGGATAGCAAATGACTGTTTTGAATACTCAAATCTCCACTCATTGCCAGCGGAGCTAAACCAGGTTATAATTCTTCCTTTAGCTCGATGAGGTGGGTTAAGACACCTAAACTATTTGCAGACTGTCACAGACAGAAAATAAAGGGTGAAGCGCTAAATGCCTCGACTTTCCTACCAGAATTGCAACCCACGCGGTGTACGTGGGTTCCATGTTCACGGGTTCCATGTGGGCTGCTCTGTACTGTGGGGGCAGGCCCGCTAGCCGGGTGCCTACGCTGGCTCGGTTTGCCTGAGTAATGTTTTTCAGTGGTTAGTTGAGTACTCAAAGGAGGTCATCTGTTGTGAGAATATCAACATCTATTAATATCCTCTGATGGCCAAAGATTGCTGGTGAGATATCTTTCATTGGTGACAAAGTGATTCTCAAAATGACTGACGCTGTGTTCCACCAGCGTGACTTCCAGGCTGGCTTTAGAAAAATGGGTTTGGTTGGCTTATATTGCCCAGCTTAATTCTAGTCATAACACTACTGTCTTTCATGCAGCGCAATGCAATCTAGGCGACTGTTGTTAAAGCCTGTGTGCCTCAGAGGACATCTGCTCTGCACATTGTAGTGGGGTGCCTATGCCTTTCCCTGTGGAAAATGAGTCTGGAAGGAGAGTTCTGTATTCATGTGGTTAGGTTCCTTCTGATATCCCAGCTAGCAGACTTAATTAGCTATGTTGCATCTTAATTTAAATTGAACCCAGACAGAAGTGGCTTTGTGGGGCTAGCTACAGCCAAGACGAAAATAAACTCACAGCAAGGCATGAAAGTGTGTGGATTTCAGGCATTAATCATTTAGGGCAGGAGAGGCCAAGCTAAGCAGTGGAAGGAAGTGGAGGGGGGGAAAGGGAATAAATTGGAGTCTGGTTGAGGGTTGTTTGGGGCATGGGGTGGTGTGAATAAATAGCATTAGCCCTTTTCTAATTTCAGATCCCATTTATTTATTGACTCAGGAGGGTGTCTCTGTCTCTTGTTTTTGCCTGACTGATGCTCTGAGTGCATCCACTTGGACTTTGATCACCTTTGGGTACATGTAAAGATGTTTTGTTGAGAGCTTTTATTTGGTTGCTGGTCATGTGCAGAAAAAGCAGTCGTCCAAGTCTGGAGCTCAGCTTGCGCTTCCGAACCTGCTCATTGGGCCCCGAACACTGCAAAGAGCTCTGCAGTGAAGTAGGTCCTTCTCTTCACGCTACGTTTTTTTGCTGCTTGGAGCAGAAAGTGACCCAGCCAATCCGATGTTTGCATAAAAGTTTTAGTACTGTAATTTCCTATCAAGTGACAAGAAACTTGTGGGGATGAACCTGTCACGGCAAGTACAGTTGGGTCGTCTTGATTCTGCTGTGGTAAAAATAATGAGGAGGATGATCTGAGGCGAATGTCTGTTTGCTCGAAGGACTGTTACACGTTATTTCTGACAGTGACTTTGTACAAACATGTAGTGAGAAAACCTGCCTGCCTCAGCACACGATACAGAGTTTGCGGAGAGACAGAGGCATGCACAGGCAAAGTGCCTTTCCAGGGTGGTTCGTTCAGTCAGTGAGTAGGACACAGATTTTGCAGTCTGGGTTTTCTGTCACTTGGAGTGGTGTCTTGGACCAAAACTTGCTCCTGTTGATTTGAGGGGGCAGCATTTTTGTTGGCTGAAACTGGTGGGTGTCACCACACCATGATTTAGGATAGTTATGAAGAAACCAATTTCTCTAAGAAATGATAGCAATCTCCAAACCACCGAGGAAAACAAAGACCCACTGGGCAACCCTCTGGGTAGAAGGCTTTGGTGGGTGTTGTGGGTGAGGCTGAGCTAGATAAAGGAATGAGGCAGAAGAGAAGGATGTGCCAGGAGAGCCTAAGCAGCCAGAAAATATTTTCAAGGGTTTAATTTTGAAAGATGCTCACTTCCACATCCTACAAACAAATGACTTCTCTGACTTGTTGCAAAAAGTGTTGCCAAAAAGTGGGATTTTGTGTGGATTATTATGT